AATATATTCTAAATATATTTCGGATATACCCCGTTTTGCCCAAGGATAGATAAAGGATCGTATATATACCTGAATATATTCAGTATATATACGATGGATCAGACCAGCACTATAATGACCAGAAGAAAAAATTTTGAGTAAAACGGAATACAAGTGAGTGCATGCCCATATATTCCGGAATATATTCCTCGGGCAAAACGGGGTATATTCGGAATATATTCTCGGATATATTCTGAAATATATTTAGAATATATTCCAGAATATATACTTTTTCCGTGGGGGAAGCTCTCGATATTTCGAGCTTCACTTTATCTACGTTTTAGTTGATTTCACTAGTTGGCTAATAACGCTATGGTTATGAAATAGCCAATTTCGCTCTTGATATACTAACATATTAATGTGATATTGCGACCAATGATTAATGACTCTACTTAACTTATCTCTTGCGATAGCATTCAAAACGAACGAAAGACAATTTCATGATGCGACAATGAACTACAATTTATGGCTGTTACAGAAATAGTGTCAAATCTTTTCATAATGGTATCGCCTTAATGAAACATTAAGGACAACATTTACATTCGATTTATCAAATTCTCAAATAAGAGCTATTTTTTTCTATAACATTAAAATTTCCATATTCTTAACTAATTTTAATTTTTAATCAAAATTTTTTCATAAGCAAACCTGTTTTGATTTCTAAACATAGTAATTTACTTTAACGACTACCGTCTAGTGATCACAATTGAAGGGTTGTTTTAAAGTCGTAATTAAGACCGTCGACTGTGTATATCGTATACGACAGATAATTTCAGCTTTTGTATCCCACTACTGAACCAAGAAGTGAATCTAATGATCACAATAACAATACTCGCTTAAAATTTGTATTTACTTGAATACGCGTGCGATTGTCGCACATATGACTACAGTTGTCGCCTATGGCTTGTACTCGAATAAATGCGACTAAAATCTTAATATAAACTTCCATTCCGATAGCACAATCATATTATTCGTATTTATCCATTCACCCACAAGAAACATAAACTACTAGTGCTTAAACAGTATGAATTTAAATATTATAACGTTATCTTTTAGTTTTTGAATAAGTTTTAAAATTTTAATTAAATAATAATCAATGTTAAATGTTTTGTCATTCAACTTGATTGCAGAACTTATCAAAGAGTTTGCTTAATTGAATTCCTCTTGAATACGATATTAATGAATCTTTATCACAAAGTTTGATATTGCAATTCTCAAGCAATCAATTATAAGACTGGAAATTAAACGGAAACAACTCAATAAAGTATCTTTTTTGTCCTGTCGTTGTCTGATAAAATAATAACATAATGTAAAAAATTTGGTATTCAATATAATAATTGCAATACGTTTTTTTAATTATTTATATTATTAAATATTTTTTTATAGGCGAATAAAATTATATTGGAATGCAAAAGTTATGTGATTAACTTCAGTGAAAATTTTTTTTTGTGACCATATCAGAAAATTTTTTCACGGGCAGTTCCTGTTTGTAGAGGAAACTACCAAAAAAAAAATTTTGAAATAGCTTCATAAAAAAAGTTTTTTTTTTTCATCGTTTTTCGCTGTAAAAATTCAGGTTTTACTA